CATGGGGGATTTTTTTCTTTTGCGTTCCCATGCAATACCTTTGCGTTCCCTCGCAATTTTGTTTTGCGTTCCCATGCAAAAAATTGTTTAGGATATGAACTGAATTAAATCAGACTTTTATTTTGAAATATCCAGTTACCAAAACCGGATGTGTCGCCACAAGTTCGTGAAATTGACATACTTCCATGCATGGCTGTGTGATATATTAATTCTAAAGCTGAATTAAAGCAGTAGGCTAACTCACTAATGGTGAGCAGGTGAATTTGTTAATAAACCAGCAGGCAGAACAGTGTTAAATGACTTTTGCGAGGGAACACAAAAGATATTGTGAGGTAACGCAATACTTTGCGTGGGAACACAAAAAGAAGAAAAAATCCCCCATGTCCCCTCGCGGGCTCGGTATATGATAAAAACCAGACAGAGAAAATATTTTTTTGTAAACCCTTGCATTCCTTTTTGGATTTTAACTCAGCATTCTTGTACAAACTGCTGTGATGAAAAAGGGCAAACCAAAAATGTACTAGATCAAAAGTGGCAACTGGCGACCATATGGTGATGAGTCCATATCTTTCAAAGTTTTCTATATAGTCGGGGGGTTTAATAATGTTCTCAATAAAAACACATCAGGTTTGATCATGTATCTGTGGGATTCCAAATGGTAATGTGCTGACTGGTCAGCATCATGACTGCATTATCACAGATGGCTGTAAATGATACTCAACACTTTCATCTCTTTATTTTTCCCATTTCAAATAATCACTACTCGACACTACTTGAAACAAAAAGCGATACCATTTCCAAATGTTTCTGGTTTTGGATGCAACTTTTCATTTAAAGATTAAGAGATAAAGAAGAGACAGACTGCAGAATGAGTGTTGGACTAAGACAAAAGAGAAATAACAGCAGCAACAAGATTAACTCCAGGTCATCTGGTGTAATGAAGACAGACGTATGTGATCAGATGAGGGATGAAGAACCACACTTTAATGCTGCTGAACTCCTCTGAATTGCCAGTTCTGTGGATACAAATCTTTCACAAGAAATGTGGCCCATTCAAGTCATGCCTAGCTCAATTTCAGCCACCGATGAAATTGATTATTATGTGAATGGGGTCCTTCCAGAGATAATTAGCACTGTGTACAAGGTTAAATGTGCCCTGAGGGAATAAGGAGTAGCAGAAGTCAAGAACAAGAGCCAGAAGTAAACACAGGCCAGAGCGAAAAGTATATATACAGTATCTATATAT